TCACCATCCCATGAGACTCCTTCCCATAATCCTTATTACTGAAGGGACAGTTCTGGCACGACTCACCTGGGGAAACTTATAGAGACCTAGAAGTCTGGCCATGGCCACAGAGAGGGCTGAGCGTGTGTCTCCCACCAGGGCAGCCCGGGGTACACCGAAGTGGCACACATAGTTGGGGACAGGATCTTCCTGTCCCGTGAGGAAGGCCATGGTCTCATACATGGCCCCATGCACAGAGTCCCCAGAGTTGCGGATGGAGAAGCCAAGTGTCAGGTTGGGCAGCAGGTGGGTGCTCCTGTTGATCTCCTCAATGGCAAAGACGAAGCTCTGGGCCACGCGGTAGCCCCAGGGAGACACACTGAGGAGAGAAACCCTAGGTCACAGTGGGCAGGGGGAGGTGGAGCAGGGGGTCAGTGATGTCTGTGTGCATGACGTACATAGTACATGTGACAACCTGAATTCACATTGAACCTGTAAACAGAAATGTTCACATCACCAATGAGAACAGCTGGGGGCTCAGGTTGGATACACTGATCAGTCTGATTTCATCCTTCTATGTGGCACACACACACATCGGCATGCTGAATGTTGCATAGACATAAGTCCAATTGTTATTCATTAATTTTCAAACGTCATAACACCCAGCGACAGTCACAAAGCAAAAAGAATATTAGCAGCATTTCTTGGGAAAATAAAATGGTTTGCTGACTCAGAAAAGATTTTGACAATTTTTAGTAAAGTTAAACATTTACATTTTTCTATAAAAACCCAACAAACATCAAGTGCTCCATTAGGAACTGAAGGACAGAAACCCACAAAGGGAACACAGTCAGAGACATGAAGCTGAGCCCTGATTCAGGAAGAGAGGCATTAAGTAACACTTAGGCTGTCAGGGAGGAAACCTAGCTCACATTGGCCCTGTGCATAGCACAGAAGGAGGAGAGAGAAGACCATATGCCCAAGCCTGCAGCCCAGGAGCTCAGGCACACAACGTAGTCCTGGTTGTACAGGAGCCCAGCCAGAGAGAGAAGTACACAGAACAGGCCCCTAAGCACTGTGAAGATGGGGGACCAGGATTTGCGAATCCACCCCACCCCAACATTGGGCAGCCAAGGACCCTGCTCACCCTGAGGATGGTAGCCCTGCAGGCAGCACTGTGAAGTTGAGGGAGACAACATTGTAGAACTGAAGGATGGAGAAGCTGCCACCCAGCACAACATCTCCTGGACGCTCAAAGCGAGGGCTTCTGCCGGGCAGCCGCCAGCCCATTGGCCCAGGAGCTGCCAGGAAGGGACCTGCCAGTGTGGCCAGCAGGGCACACAGCCTCATGCCTGCCCTGGTCATGACTAGCAGCACTCAGCCCTGCACAGCTGTGACCAGGCCTCCTCAGGCTCACATGGAAGTGGGTCTGGCTGTTATGTGGGTGCCCCTTATCTTGAGCTACCAAATCCCAGGGCCATTACAAGTTCTCTGTGGGCTCATAAAACACCTTCTGCAAGGTCACAGTTCTGGGCACCATCTGAGCACCTCAGGGAACTACATAGTCTCAGCTGCACCAAGCACCTGATGGATGCTGTACTTTTGCCCTGGGCAGCTGCATAGTGAGGCAGGAGACCAGCTGTTCCCAGAACTCAAGGTTTATTGGGCATCAGGAGGGTCCCATCAGAGACAAGGTAGAGACCAAGAGCTCCTGGATAGAGGCTGGGGCCCAGGAGGGGGTGAGCTGAGAGGATTAGAGAAACAACAGAAAGCTCAAGCTCTCAGCCCAGGAGACAGGACAGCAGATCTGAGCAGAAAGTTAAGGTGCCTGATGTAGTTCCCATCACATGGGCCTGCCCTGGGAACATGTGCACAGTCAACTGTACACTAAGCTTTCAGCAGTAACTCCTATGAGCTTTGGAGAACTCAGCACAGCTTTTTGTAATGTGTTCCATGGTTCCTGGAGTTCACTGTCTAATTGCGTACAACCTAAGTATGTCGTGATCTCTTCTGATTGTGGAGTATACTGACAGTCCACTGTGTTCACTGCTTAAAGAAATACAAAACATAAGAGCAGGCAAGATAGCTCAGCAGACTAAAGCTTGTGCTTAGGCATTCAGAGACAAGCCCAGGGATCTCAATTCAATCCCAGGCACAACAGCCAGAGTCCAGGAATAGTGGTGCACACCTGTAATCCCAGCACTGGGGAGGCTGCAAGCAGGGGGATCACTATGGATCTGACCTG